ATGGATCATGTCGATAGCATCTCGTATAGTTAGATTTCCATAACTATTCTCGCTTGGGGATCTGATATAAGCTCTCTGTCGTGTCAAGAAGTACTCTAAGACCTCTTCAAAGTGTCATCCTGCAATGCGTTGGTAGAGCCGAGGCGTAGCCAATAGCCATATGTAACTAGGCCATGTCTACTACAATCAAGATAAAGTTTGCCTTATGTGATTGAAAATAAACTAGACCTAGAGTGTCCAATATTGTGGCCGATAGTCATCTTCATGTTTCTTGAATTTCGTACCTATCAACTCTCGATTGTCTCTAGTTGTAATGAGTGTGTAGATTATTGAAAGCCCACTAGATATGTGGCAGAAAATTCAATGTTTTGCTAAGTCCCATTCGAGGGATTGCATAATCTACGTCGTTAGCCTACCTTGCCGGGGTTCAGCACAACTCATTGCATAATCCCAACTCTCTTCCAAAGACCCAAGCAAACCGAAATTGTTTTGTTCCAATTCGGGGGCGACCCAGTATGCGCTATATATTATTTATGCTCTGTGCATGCACATAGTTAATCCTATATGAGGCCTAATAATCCGGATGAGACACACAAAGTTTTCAAAACTTATAGATGATCATTGGTCTTTCAGTTGGAGGCCGATCCTTTGATCGGGAGAGCGGGGGTGGTCACGAAGTGACCTTCAGCTCCAACTCGTATCTCAGACCCCAAGGTATCCCGAGCCGAGTACAACTGTGTTTGTATTGATGATCCCACCGGTGGGCGCGTGTTTTTAGCATCCCACGGTCATGGAGTTTCTATACTTACGAAAGAAGTTTCTCTCAACTGTAAGACAAACATAAATAGAATATCATTATCATACCGTTGCATACACTGTTGCCAACATACAATTTGTTAATTTACATCTTTGGATACAGGGAGAATTCATTACAAAAAAAGAGCATCCAGTGGCTTGTGACACAAACTCTCGTTTCACTCAAAATCAGTTTTACTGCCAAAACGACTTTGAGTGCTGAAGAAGAGCATATTAGAACTACTTTTGCGTTAACCAAGAAAACGTAGAAGTAAAAAACCTTAGTAAGCATACAGAGGGAAAACTAGTTTGTAGCATGTATGAATTGCGGTCCTCGGCCACGCGGCTTCATAGGGTCAAAGTACCGCGCAATTAGAGGACCTCACAGGTAAATCTTTGCTTCCACCGGGCTCCTGACGCATCATTCTGTGCCTGCCTCTCCTCTCGCAGAGCGTCTCCGCCTCTTGGGACTGTCTCCTATGTTCTGCATGAGATTCTGTTCCTGCACCGTCCACGTCCCATCTTCTGACTGAGTCCGCGTCCTACTTTGTAGGGACCTTGCAGTTACATGTACATTGAAGCGCTGAAACTATAACATTCTGGTTTAGATCCATATGCTAGTCATGATTTTACGTAACACTTGTGCCTGTTTCTTTATGGCATTGCATTTTGCATTTGGAGTTGGGCCAAGCTATTGGGGGTGGACACCTGAGCAAGTAGAACTTTGCTCCATCTGCATTCCTACAACGTGCCGGTAGGCGGTGTCATATGCCCTCTTTGTGGCTAAGGCCCGAGCTAGTTGTCAGCCAAATGCGGGAAGGGCTAGATCCTGGTTTTGCCAGTGCGGCCAGTCCTCGTCTGGCAGTAATGGGAACAGTCCAAATTCCACTCTCCTTGGTGTGCAAAGACCTGTGTCTTTCTTGGTTATAAACTCACGTTCTCGGCCTCGTGCATATTCGAACCTTCCGCGTATTGTTGTAGGCCACGCATTCCGAGCAAGGCCTTAGTCCTCTTTGCCATCTTTTCTTCCAGGAGTGGAAAACCTTCGCGATGAGGAGCTCGCTCTATCGTCTATTTCTTCCGGGCGAGCCATCGAGGATTCACCGATGCAATGTGCCCTTGTTCGACTTGATCTATTGTATTGAGGGCTAGTTTTCGGTCTGTTTAGAGAAAGCATTATAGCCACCGGCCCGCGTGGCTTGCTGCGGGACTTTGAAGAGCTTTGTAAACACCTTTAGCTCGCCGGCACGCCCAAAAGTCTTCGATGTAAGCTTTCCAGTGCCTAGGGAGACACACGCCGTGGATGCGCTACCCACACGGAAACCCATAGAAGGTGTTTGTGCTTTCTCTCGAAATTGGGCCTCTAAATCTGTTATGTGCTTTGTCAGCACAAGAGGAATGCGTCAAAGTACATCAGAAAGGGGACCGACCTACAGATACAGGAAGTGACCATGTTATCAGTTTGCAAGTCGACTGCAAGAGCGACTTTGTGAAATGTTTTTAAAAGCACAAGTGCAAGGCCTAGCCGCCCGCAACTTTTGACTCACTTCAGTTGAGCCATGGACCTCTGGCGTGAAGAATTTTACAGTCAGCCCGGGTTTGTTAACGCTGTGAGCGGTGGCGTATTGCAGATCAGATTTTTGCGCGTAGCAAGCGAATCGTTCTTGAGCCACTTCAGGTATAGGAGAGCAATGCTATGCGAGAGAGAAACTATAACGAAGGCGAGCAAGTGTTCTTTGTCAGCCTTGATCGAAGCAGTCGCCGGGATGTCCTGCTGCCTTCACCGACTCACGTCAGGTGCTCGTATGTTCTATAGAGACTTGGCGTGGTTCTGTCCAAGCGTGGCTCTACTTGCAGAGGTACGAGGGATTTTGCGTAGGACCATGTATGCGTCAGAATGTGCATCAGCTCGAGCGACTACCCCCGAGTGGCTCTCCGACGGAGGTGACAATCTGCTCCCTTGTGGTTCTTGTTCTCAAGCGCACTGGTCTGCTCAGGTAGTCATCGTGAGACAGTATTGCCCTCGTAGCTCAACTCGGAGGCATGAGAGAGGCACAAGGTGGCTCCCACGTGCCTTTCCTTTGGCACCCTCAGGAACTGTGACGGCGGCAGTACACACAGAGGGCTAGGTGCGAGCGCGGTGGCGTACAAAGAGCTTCCACCTGGATTCATCAATCGGTCAGCCTAGATCAGTACGGTCCGCGGTTTAGATACCAGCTTTTCCGCGAATACCGTAGAGATACTTTTGGCCGATTCTAGGCTGTGTGACGGTGCTGTTCATCACCGGGTATTTATACATACTGGGACCGTCTAGGGGGTGATGTAGGGATAACTGCGGAATTCTGCATCAGAGAGGATGGGGCCGAAGGCAGCTCATGAGGAAAGCTACCGGAGACACGTGCTAGTGAACTCTAACTCCGGCGCTGGACACCAAAGTGAAATTAGTCCCCAGATGTGCAATGAAGAGTTCGGTGAGTGTGAGTAAGACCGCGTACGACTAGCATTCGTTGCAGTCTCAGCAGGGGTGAGCTGCTGCTCGTCAGGAGGGAATGGTTACCTACCAAACGCAAGCGGTCTGCCCGGAATCAATGTGTGCCTCGACGTCAGTATGGCCGAGCTTGCGGGGAAATCATCCAAGCTAGTTGGCTTGCAAGCAGAGCGCAGTGGACTACGCAATGAGGCCAAAAAGGAACACGAGGCGGATACAGCGCTTTGCGTATACAGACTACAAAACTGAATAGTCACATCCTCCCAGTTAAGGTATACGACCCGTAGCGCAAGTTTCAGGACAGTGGCCCTGGGCGAGACGCTCATATAATGCTCACTTGAAGGAGAAACGAATGAACTCCCTTGCTTTTGAAGTGGATAGGAGCCAGGGCTCCGCCCCCAACATCTCGAGCCTCGCAATCCAACAGACATGTCTCGTAACTTGTCCAGACACCCACAAAAAAAATCATCTGTATACGCGGTGCAATCATCTTTGTCCTGGCCCTTCGAGGTTCGGAGGGGTTCCGGACCCCACAGCGTTGAAGTTGCCACACGAGCCTTTTTGAAACGAGAGATTGTTCAAAAATTTTCCCTATCCTTGGCCCGGGTGGTGTCTCCATATTCTTTCCAAGTAGTAGCTAGGCCGTTCACCGGGGCAGGGTGAGGGGACGGCGCCATTGTATCACCGACGCTGAAGTTTTGCACTCCTCAATGATCTCCCGGACAGGTCAAGATGCCTCATCATCGATGTTTTGAATTGGGTCAGGAGATCCTTATGGTCCACTTGAGCTTGAGTTGTCTAGTGCAGCACTTGTAATGTTGTGCCGGCGTCCTAGCGTATGGGTGTTTCCATTTGACCAAGATTGTGGAACAACAGAGCCCTCCCGCTTTTTTTGGCTTATATCGTGAATACAGTGTTGGTGCGCACACTGCGTGTGTTCGTGGGGTGCCAAGGCCCGTGCGGCGGAGAGGAATCATTGTCGGAGTTTCACCTTGGTAAGTAGATGGCCAAATTTTTGAGTGAGCGAGTTGTCGAGTGAAAAAACCCAGAAGGCTGCCCCGAGGAGATTGGCGAGGCCTTCGTTTCCGCAAACAAAAACGATGTATTCATACAATACCAAATCGAGGATTACGGACCCGTGATCTGATGAGGACGTAATGGACGCAAGGCAGACCAATAAGGGGTGGAGAAGCAGTTCGTGGCACTACCGTCAACTCTACCCCTCCAAGGTGGTGGGAATTCATCCTCCTCTCCTGCGCTGGAGGCAGAGCCATGACACGCTCGTGGAAATAGTCGGCGAGACTGCCAGTTGAACCATAGTCCTCCTCATGGAACCAATCGAGCGATTCAAGAGGACATCACAGACCGGATAAGTCGATCCACTGAAGGAAGCTGAGAAACTTTCCCGCTCTAGCTGTCATTATATGGTCCCTGCCAGCCCAAAGCTAATGCAGAAAATGATTGTGGATCGCCCTTGCTCCCTATTACTGTATCCCTTCTGGCACTGGAAGTTGGGCGAGTTTTTGGGAAGCACTCTGTGGGGGTAATCTGGCATGTGTTTTGTACAAGACCCGAGGAGTCGCCTATCGTAGAAGCGCCTCAGAATGAGCCCGTTGTTGGTCCCTTGGACTTCATTGCAGGAAAAGCGATGGCAAGTCGTATGAGCGAGCAAGGAGCAGCCCAGGGAGGGTCGGTGTTTCCTCGCCGCACATTCGGAGATTCGCGAAGGTCTGGATTTAAGCCGGTTTAACGCTGTAGCGCCCAAAAACCACCTCGGTTGTCTAGTATTGTCGATATCTAAAAGGGAGGCCGCAGCTGCGCAGATCTCTGATGTCCCGGATGTCAGCCGCTCAGGCGGCTAACCAAGACCGGTGTTAGTCCACGAAACAGCCTACCTCAATTCACCGGTTTGAGCGTCCGGAACGGCCAAGTCCTTTTGTTTAAGTCTTACGGTGTTTCTCGTCCACTCTGAAGTTTGGAAGAAAAACATATCTCTAGATAATATATCTCCCCACGGTTTGGCCTGCGGATTTTTGTGGACATCAAAAGAAGGCCCAAGGGTATAATTTCCCAGTTCCCCCCAGTTCTTCAGTTGTTTTCATTCAAGGAGCACGCAAGATTTAGTCACAAAAGAACAGTTGAAGCGTGCTTGAGCATGTGGTCTTGGGACGTGTATAATCGAACATGGCCATTTGACCCATTAAACTTGAGAGGCCATTTATCGTGTTAATCTCAACATGCCCTGAGATCGCTGTTAACCTTGATTCCAAAATGAAAGAAAATAGTACATCCCATGCGTCACAGAGCAAGAGTCGAAACCTATGATTCAGACCTACTTAGAAGTAGCGTTGCTGGGGGCAGTTCTTCCAAGCAACGAGACTACCATTCAACAAAAACCGGTCATGACCACCGACAGTTGCAATTTTCGGCTAGTCGAGACTAGGACCGAATGGAAAGGCTTGGCTCTTGCGAAAGTCAGTTCACCTGGTGATGTTATAGAAAAGGTCAGATAGGAGAAAAGTCAAATCAACTGGCCCGTTGACGAAGCCCCAGGGATGATGTTCTTCTATGGCTCTCAAAGGGTGTCTAAATCGGGCCCGGCACCCAATTGATTCTAAAATTGCTGAACCTAAGAATGACGGCTGAGAGGTTGGCTTTCGTCCGATGGAGTAACCTCAGATTGTGGGAAGTCTTGGCCGTTGTTGTCCCCATTTTTGTGCCGTGACAGTGCGGAT